ATCTTTCTTTCCCTGTTTACACCTTATTCCTACATTTGATTTTGTTTGGCTTACTTTCCATCTCTAAAACGCAAAAAACTTGCAAGTGTACTGATGTTACTCTGTTTTGTTTAATTTGTTGCATATTAATTGCATTCGAATTTAAATGTATTGAAATTAAAGATGTGTTTATATTTACCCGTTGAATTGTTTCCATAAAGTCAGTGAGCGACTCCTTGTCGGGAAAGTAGAAGCCTACGCAACAACTGGGGTCCATCTTCGAAAGCAACATCTTTCTCGGTGATGTGCAGTGGAAGCTTGTCAATGGGAATTTTTCATTTCCTTCGACGTCAACGGTCTCCTGAATAACGAGTGAAGAAATGAATCAGAACGATAAAATATATTGAAAGATTAAATGTACTCCTCTGAGTTACAGGAATAAAGATGGAAAAAAGTAAAACAAAGAAATATATAAAATAAAGACTAAAATGACAAAAAAATTTGTAAATTAAATGCTTCAAATATTAAGGTAATGTTTGCTTTTTAAAAGATTGAATGCTACCTGACAGTAATGCGGATCTAAGTGAATCAGTTTGTCGTCCTGATAGCCGATGAAGTAGAGCGAGTGTCGCGGTCGACCACCGATCACGCCGATGCATGTGTCTAGTGTCAACAGCGATGTCAAACAAGGCGCGTAAATGGGATTTAGCTTGTCGGCGCCGAGCCTCAAGGGCACTAAGAGTATCAGCGCCTTCCGTCTACCATCGGGAGTGCAGCAAACATTTTCGACATCTTGCATGTACACTGAAAAAACGTTCAGCGATTATTAATTTATGCATAACACGATAAAGTAAAGAACAAAATTTCTGTTAAATCTGGCACAATGCGAAACATTTAATAAAAGAAATCTCCGTTCTCTTATGAGAAACTATTAAAATGTTTCTATTATATATATTTTTATATTTTGTTTTATATTATTCTGTACAAACAAAATTCTTATTTAATTTTAAATTGCTATTTAGATAATTTGATATTTCTTTTGACATAATAAGCACAGAACGTGTTAATATTAACCTGCACAATCTTGGGCGACATATACCGCCAACTGATTGAGTTTACTGTTGGGATCCTCGCTAGCGCGTTCCATAGCCTGACACAAAAGATGCGCGACCGAGGAGGGGCCGTACCAGTCGCCTGGACGTTTTCCCGCCGAAACGCCGAGCGACACGAGCCTGTGTATGGAGAATGGGGATTCCGGTGTTGGCTGATCTCCAAACCATTTGATAATCATCCGATGATTGCTTTCGTCAGTCGATTGTTCCGGCCGCCATCTCCACTCTATATAAAATCAGGAAATAAATTTATCACTCAATACTATGTAACACAATAAGAGACATACAGATTCATTTAAACGATTCTTTGTATGTTTGTCGAATAAAATAAAAAATAAAATTACAGTTTCGAATTTATATAAGTATTAAGAATAATAATTTAAGTAATTTTAAAAGTAAATAAACTAGTCACTTTACTTAAGATCTCGAGAACAGAGAATCAATGAATCTTTTTAGCGCCAATAAAATAAATTTGAAAAGGAGAAATAATTACCCCGTCCGAGGAAATGACAGACTAATGCTTGCGCGAGCATCATTTGTCCGCTGCGTAGCATGCAACCCCAACCACAGTCTGTGGTAAAGGTGGAGCCATTCAGGATCGGAAATTCCCGTCTGTATGTTAACCAAAGACGCGACGCGAAATCCCTCTTGAATTCCTCTATGGTATTCTCGAAATTTGTGGCATCCATCGCCAAGGAAACCTGACTCCCCGTTCCAACTGGCTCCAATGCTTCCGATGCTCTCTCCAAGGAACATTCCGATTTTTTCAGATAACATTGACCCAGTAACCACACGGGAGATTCTTTAGAGAAGTTTGTCTTTATCTTCACAGTCCAGCCTTTTATCAAGAAAAAAACGTATAATTTGACAATTATTTCTCGTAATACTTTTTATATTATGTACAATAAATAATGAATAAATCTGTAATATTCTATTATAATCTACGGCAGGAATGTATAATTGAAACATAGAATATTTTTGAAACAAAATTTTTGCTGCCGAAATGTCCGATATACGTACCGTATTTAACGTTGTTCCACATAGAGAGCAATTTCGTCTTGACTTTGCTGTCGACCTCCGTCGCGGCCATGGTGTCGTCTAACTCGGCGTCCGAGTTGAATGATTGAATGGTAGGAACACGGTCCGTGGCGATCATCCCGGAAAATAGTCCAAGATTCACGGGCCCGAAACCACCTACAAATACAAAACAGTTTTATCTTGAAATTCATCGACATTTTGGAAAAATTTAATAACGTTAAGTTTTTCTATTTCTCCACTTTACCGCCTCTCTCTCTCTCTGTCTCTCTCTCTCTGTCTTCCATATTATTTTTATCAATTAATTAATTTTCTTTTTACCATGTCATTTCTAATAATTGTTCTTCAAATCCTACTGTTCTGTTGCATTTCGATTTTCGATCATTGTGTTTTCCACCTTTTCCGTGCACCTTTTTACCTGCCCTGCGGGTGGTACAAGTACAAAGGACGAAAATTATGATGAGCAATCTCATAATGGGTGATGTCTCACCATGTTCCCACTTTTCTATTCCCCTCCCTTCCTTCCCTCAAAGGAAAAAATAAGAATTGTTTTCACCTTTTAAAAGGGGAATTTACCCGTCCCAAATATTAGCTACTATTATCACCGTCTTGTTATCCGCGTGTCAATTTGGATAATCATCGAGCGTATTATCTAAATTACTGAATAATGCAGTACATACACGTACATTACATTCATTAACAGACAAGTCACTTGAGATGAGTACAGACAGTACACTTAATTATACACTTAATAATGTTGTTAATATTCTTTTCTACAAGCTGTTTTATTAAGATCATCGTTTTTGCACTGTTCCATTGATATCACACCTGACGTTCCAGACGGCAAAGAGCGGCTTTGCTGAACCGCGAGCGATTAATATCTGTTGTCGGCCGCAGGGGGCTGTTGCGACACATAAATCATCAAGGTAAACAAATTAAGAGGTCACGACGCCGGGCTTCGCCTTCTTATCTCGCCTGCAATGCATGCGACATAACGTCAGGGTTATTTACAGAGAAATCGACTATCCAAATTGACACACGGTTAACAAAACGGCGATAATAACAGCTAACATCGGGATAAGAGCTAAATGTTTTCAAAAGGCAAGGAGAATTCCATTATATTTATGTTAATAATTATATATCTCTCTTATCACGTTTGCTTTGTTAAAAGAGAAGCGAGAAAGAAAATAGAAAGGCGAAAGAATGACTGTGTTTTTTGACATCAGGAAGAGATAAGCGATGTTTTTTTAAAGCTGAATTAGTGTACATTTTCTGTATTTAAAATAAAATAGATATATGATTGAAATTTGATTGAAGCGAGCAGGGAAATTCTAATGCAGTCCAGTGCAGCAATCAAAGAGATAAATTTATAGATATAAATGTATAAACTATAAAGAAAAGGCGAAAAAGAGAAAACTGACATTTTAACAGCTGGGAGTACGTTGACTCTGTGCGAAACCTTATTCAAAATCCGACAGTGAAAAATTTTCAGAAAGTTTCTATTTGTCGCTCAACATGTACTTCATCATATGATTTTAGTAGACAATGAATATTGTTATTTGTGTATCGTACGACGTTTGATTCATCTGATTTCACCGAGGACAAAGTGGTGCGCTTCGATCGTTCTCTAGAAACAATGAAAACTTAGGCTTCGTACTATCGGCGACGGCATAAGTACCAAACTTGGGCCGAACAAAACAAATATGCAGTCAAGCCGTCAAGCACGTTGAAAGTGGAAAGACAGAGGAAGCGGGGGGAAAGAAGGAAAGAGAGGGAAACAAGAGGAAAATCGCGGGATGATTGACGGAGGGACTGGTTGACACTGTTGACAGTGGTTGACAGCTCGTCGTCGGGGCGAGACGTAAACAGCAGGCGTGTGTGTGTCACCCACCTAACCTCTCCCGCGACGATTGCACCTGGCCGTTCATGCTCGGGCGGAACGGCGCGAAGGCCGTGAAGTCGGCGTCGTAATGAACGGTAGATTCTGACTGCGTTTGACGGCTGTCTCGTCGACGAGACGGGGCGATCACATTTTCGCGCTCGCGCGGCTCGTTCCGAGCTCTCTTTTTCCGTCTCTCTCTTTCTCGACGATGTCGATTCCTAAGGAACGTCGGCGCGACGTCCGGCGTCGCGCATCCTCGGCGATCGGCACAAACGACGGCGTGTTAGCTCCGATCGGAATCGCTCCGTTTCCCTTTTAACGTCCCGCACCGCGGCACAGCCGACAGCGTCGCCCACAGCGTCGCGCACGGCGTCGGCCGCGTCGGCGTCGTCAGACCAGGGCCGGGCGTCTCGGCGCATGCGCGTCGAGCGCGCTGCCCACCGAAGTGTCTAGTTCGAACGCGAAGCGGGCTCCGGCGGCCCCCCCTCTCGACGGCGACATCAGTTTCTGGTTTTCTTTCTTTCTGTTTTTCTTTCCTGTTTCTTTCCTTCGTCGATAAATCTTCCTCGTGACGTTCGGAATCGCGCGGCATGAATAATTATGCGTATTGAACATCGGCTTATATACTCACCTGTTTGTCTGTTTATTGAAAATTTGTGATCCGCCCGCGAAATGTTTCTCAGAGCGCCCGCATTAACGTGCTTTGTTGCGCCGGGCACGCGCGAGACTGCCGGTAGGCCCGGTAGTGCCGGTGCGATTGAAAGCACCGCACTTCGCGGTGCACAACTTCACGATGCAGATTGCAGAACAACGCAGAATACGACGCGACGCTTTTGATCGTGGAGCGCGTAGAGAAATCGGCTTGGCGAAGGACGGTTGCAACGATGCGAGTTGCGAAACTAGAAAATCGAGCTGTCACCGATCGCGAACATGACTGGACACCGTAATGGAATAACTCTGATTTTTATTTCTTGTTTCTCTTTTTTCTCAAGAACGTTGCGTCGTGGAATTTAAAGCGTCCACTATCTATGGCGGCGTGCGATAATGATTGTGATTGACGATTGACAATTGTTGTCCCATGTTCCATGAAAGAACGAAAAAGTGAAAGAGCGAATAAACGAGAGAAAGAGAAAAAGAGAGAGAGAATATTATTAAACTTTTTTGGATAAATCCCCTGAAGCGTAAGAATTGAGCAATGAAATTATTAATAGTCAAAGAATAAGATTATTGACAACTTATGTGTAAATAGCATTATATCATAAATACTGTCATAATTACGTATATTATGTATATTCATATATTTATATTTCATTAATATACATTTAAAAATGTACACAAATATATATGAACTAAAAGAAAATCTTATTTTAAAATACAATTTTTATACTGTGTATACAATTTTATTTTAAACGTGGCAAGGAAATAGAGTATGGAACTGCTGATGTGTGTGTGTGTGTGTGTGTGTGTGTGTGTGTTTATATGAATCTACACAATTACTCAAAATGTAAAACTGAAACATTATTTGGAACACAATTACCTTTACATCTTATTTTAAACATAATAAATATATGATTAAGAGGAGAATTAATACATTTTAGAATATTGATCAATATTAGTAGCAGATCATTCCACGTGCTTGAAAGCACATTTTTTGTTTTCTTTTTCTCTTTTCATCCATCTAATGTGACAACCCAATGTCGGTTCACAGAGAAGGTAATAAACTCCAATCGATCTTTGATTTTCTCTCTTCATTTCTTTGATAATTCCGAAGTATATTAATTGTTTATGGGAATGGTTAGCCTATTATTTAATTTGTCTGGAAGGTAATACGCTGGATATATTTGTAATGTGCGCCTTTTTGTAGTATTTTTATTTACGAAAACATATGGAACTTAAAATTTAACGCCGGCTCCAAACAGTTTCTCTTTCTCTTTTTTTCTTTTGGTATTTTTATTTCAAATAAATTTTCAAGGTGCTTTATTCGTTCCTATTAAGACATTCATTCATTGAAATGTACTATTTTTTTTTTATCAGCGCAAATAATGGATACGTACGATTTCGATGTTATCTTATCGCGCACGCATGAGCAACGCCGAGTTATTGGCATCTCAAGGGAAAATTTTCGGGAAGCGGCGCGCCGAGTCTAAGCCTGGTATGACCTGCCTTTTATGCGAATCCATATATATTCCTTTTCTCCTTTCACGCCGGAGAAATAAGTGGGAGACCGTCATTAGGCGAAGGAAAGAAGAGTTCAAAGAAATCGTGCGCGATCACGCGATATCCTCCCGTTTTGCCGCTGTAAAGACGCCCCCGTAGAGGATCAATAAAGACGATCGTCCTACGCGTCTTTTTGTTATAAACTCTATCCAAGACGGTCACAAGATATCGAGAATATATAACCTACTGTTTAAAGAATCCCACTTGGAAGACTCGCGATTGAACGTGAGGCCAATAATTCCGGCGACAAAGCGCGATTGGAAAGTCAGGCGCAACTCCCGCGCCCTTTCCGTGCCGTTTTAGAATAATGAACGTCCGACGCAATTTCGTCTTTAAATTGAGAATTCGTTGAACCCACTTTAAACGATCTATACAATTCTTGCGTCAGGAGTCACGGCAGAATTCTATTTATAACTTTATACGCTGCGCATTTTGATACATATGTGACTGTGCAGGGTAAACTCAGGTAAGATAGCCATAGAGGAAAGATGCGATGGCCACAACCCATGTTCTATCAATCTAACTCATAATATGTATGTATAGTATCGAATGAACATAGGTTGGATATCTTTTCTCTATGATCATCTTACCTGAGTTTACCCTATGCGTCTTTATTTATATTTTATATGCCAGGGATTTTGATATATACGTATACACTCATAAATATTAAGGATATTTTCTGGAGGGTTTGTCAAAATGATGAATAGGAAGTTGATGATAAATGATGCGAACTACGAAGTTGATGAAAATTTAATATCACATTCTCTTTCAAAGTTCGGGGCCATTTCAGATCGATTCATAATTTAGATAAAAAGTTATCAATTTTTTAATATCTTAGTTTTAATACGTAACCTTTTGTGGCATTACAGAGAAAAGTGTAAACATTAAAAAATGCTACCAATATAATGCTATTTTACACACAAGTAGATTATCAACAAACAAAAATTAATATGGCAACAAAATTTGAAACAATTCACAAAAAAAATTTTTTTTGAGATTTTTTTTTTTTTAAATACACTGATTGTGAGAAAAAAAAGTTAATCCCAAAAAATATTTAGTCCGATACATTCAACTAAACATTTTAGTTAGTTAACTAAACATTAGTTGTTTCAACAATTTATTTAGTTTCTTTAATCAAGAATTAATTAATTCAACTAATGTTTAGTTAACTAACTAAAATGTTTAGTTGAACGTATCCGTCTAAATATTTTTTGAGATTAACAAATTTTTTTTCTCAGTGTAGTAGTAACAGGTATTTACAGCCACTAAATCTACGTCTTTTACATTCTATTAGATTTGCCATAACTATTTAAATACGTTTTTTGGATCCCTGGAGAATTAATATTGGTGTTTTTAATATTTCCTGCATGACTTTGGGCTGGGACGGTACCTCTAGAATATCCTTAAAGGATAAAATTAAAATCAATACCTTGAACTAGATAACATTTTGTTATTATTAATTATAATGGAAAGATTTTTTCGCCAGTGAATATAAAATAATATCACCAAACTTTATTGACTATAACTGGCATATTTATTTACAATAAATCACAACGTTTTGGTCCAAATTCGGACCCTCTTCAGGTGAACTCTTACACAAGCATTCGACAGGCAATTCGTGACACTGTACCCGCAAGTCAGAAACTGAAGACTAGGCAGAAAAAGAATTTCATTTTTGCATTGCGATCGCTTAAATATTATAAATAACAAAGGAACTATAAAAGTAAAAAATCTAAGTGACTTACATGATTTGTGCGTTGTCAGTAAAATGTAATATAATAATGTCAGTGTTGGTAAAATAAAGTGTAAAAAATAATAAGAAGTCAAAATAGTATAAAATTAAATGTGTATATAGAGCGTGTTAGGAAGCACGTCCGTATATCCTGATTGCGGAGAACACAGTGCGTAAGGACATAAATTATTTAAAACCAGTGAAGGTTAATAACTACCTATTATTTTGTTGTAAATTGTTGTTAAATTTTTAATGTTTTTCTGTAGGTTTATTGCCTGTGTGTGTTTTTTGATAAAAAACATCTCCACAATCTCTCTCTTCTTATTATCCACTCTTTCCCATTCTCGCAGACATGTACAAAAAACCTCTAAATCCTCCATTACCATGTCTGCGAGAATAGGGGAGAGTGGATAATAAGAAAAGAGAGATTGCGGAGATGTTTTTCATCAAAAAACACACACAGGCAATAAACCTGCAGAAAGACATTGAAAATTTAACAATTTACGACAAAATAATAGGTAGTTAACCTTCACTGGCTTTAAATAATTTATGTCCTTACGCATTGTGTTCTCCGCAATCGGAATATACGGACGTGCTTCCTAACACGCTCTATATACACATTTAATTTTATACTATTTCGACTACTTATTATTTTTTACACTATATTTTACCAACACTGACATTATTATATTACATTTTACTGATAACTCACAAATCAAGTCACTTAGATTTTTTACTTTTATAGTTCCTTTGTTATTTATAATCTCAAAATCTCGGGTACTCGCAACTCGTGCGTTCGCGTAAATATAAAAGAGTCACGGTGCGTCTCGCTCTGCGCGTACTTGGCGCGAGACACTACCGTATCTCTTGATATTTAAGCGATCGCAATGTAAAAATAAAATTCTTTTTCTGCCTAGTCTTCAGTTTCTGACTTGCGGGTACAGCGTCACGAATTGCCTGTCGAATGCTTGTGTAAGAGTTCACCTGAAGAGGGTCCGAATTTGGACCGAAACGTTGTGATTTATTGTGCCAGTAAATATGCCATAAATATGTCAGTTATAGTCAATGAAGTTTGGTGATATTATATTATTAATTATTATATATGTCAAAATTTGTTATTTTAGTACAAAATACAGTATTATTTTAACTTTATTATTATTATTTTTTTTTTTATTAAATTAATAGCATATTGAGTAAAAGTAGTGGATCTATATGAATAGTAAAAAATGATTCAAATTAAGTATAATTTGACACTATGAATTTAACAGTGTACGTGCATGCGTTTTTGTGCGTATTTTGTATCTTAAAAAAATGTTTTTCGTAGTGCAGGATAATAAAATCTTATAAATAAATCACAGTTGAAATTGCGGTCCGTCTAAAAGAAAAGTAAAAATTTTGCTAATTGTAA